TCTTCCTTCGAATACTTCTAGTGGTTGCAGGGTTTCATTATTTTTCTTGTGCCACCCTGGATGGCCTTTACTTTAAATTTAAAATATAATTGGTAAACACAACACATACAATTAAAAGTAAGACCATGGCGTAGACATAATCCAATTTTGTCTTTACAATAATGAAGTCAAAATCACAATTTAGGAATACTTGTCTTTTGTATATAATGACCATAAGTTCAATAGTCAACACAATCACTTTAAAATTCGAGAAACCTTCTAATAAGAGACATCTAATATAGGTTCTAAAGTTGATGAGGCTCAAGATGTGCTTGTGGCTTCTTTCTCCATAAAAATGAAATCTTGAGTCTTGGTAGGGGTCATCAAATTCATACCATAGCCCATATTATTGTAAATCTCGATCTCAAACTGGCATAGAACTCTGATTTATATACTTTAAAACTTGATTCCAAATATGTTAAAATCATGATTCGAAACAACAACATATCTATGTTCCACATATGTCAGAAACTCGATTCTATAGATGTTGAAAGCTCGACTCCCCATATTAAAGAATCTTGACCCCGAGTGTCGACTCCAGGGGGATGGGAATCCCGATTCCAAGGAGGACAAAATCTGGATTCCATAGGTGGATGAAACTTGGTTCTATTTCGGTAAAACACGATTCTCAAAAACTAGGAATATCGTTCCTAGCGATTCCTAATGTATGGAAAATGATTCCTAAGACAGGAATCTTCTATCCGGCCGCGATTCCAGTTCCTAAAACTATTCGGGTTTCCAGGCATTTCCAACAACTATGGTCCATCCTATACTTTCCTTCTTGTGTAAACCTTTATAGGCCGCTCCTAAGGGATATCATGATATATAGATGTAATAGGTTCAGCAGTCTAGGTAACTGAGACGATGAAAAAGCATCAACAAGATTAGGAAAAGGAGCTATAGAAGATGAGGATTTTTAAGCTTCTTCTGGAGCTGGATAAAGGAATCTACATCAAGCATATAACCCTCATTTAAAAAATAAGGAGTATTTTAAAAAAAAGTAACATCAACACAGACAAATTCTTTCATGAACCAGGATGTTAGCAATGATGACCTTCTAGAAGCATGAATACCATAGAAAAACACACTTGATAACTTGAGAATCCAACTTATCATTATCAGTATCTAATATATGAACGAAGCATACACACCCAAACCCTTGAGGAGAAACAACAAATATTGGAGTATCAGGAAAGAGCACAGCGTGTAGTGTTTTTTTATTCAAACTAAAGAGGGCACATGATTAATTAAAAAACATAAGGTCAACAGGGCATCTCCCAATTAAACTTTTGGAACATGCACATTAATTAATAGAGTTCAGGCTACTTCAAGTAGACATTTCATTCTATCGAGGAGTATGCGCACAAGAAATTTGATGTAAAATTCCATTTTGACTAAAATAATTTTGAAACTCTTTAGAAAGATAGTATTTAGCACTATTAGAACATAAAACATACAAATTCTTACTAAATTAGGTTGAATCTCCTCATGAAATAATTTCAAAATGGAGAAAGTATTATATCTATCCTTTATTTGAAATAATAATGTTATTAGTGAATAATTATCCACAAAAGTAACAAAATATCTAGGACTAGACAAATGTTGTACACCAGCAGGGCCCCACATATCATAATGAACATATGTAGATGAAACAGATCTCTGTTTATCAATTCCATGATGAAATGACACCCTATGCTGCATGCTTAACTGACAACCCTCACATGCTAAAGTAGACACAGACCCTAAAAAAGGAGATAACAACTTCAAGTTATTGAGGGAAGGATGACGTAACCGATCATGTCATAAAAAAGGAGAAGGATAAAAGGTTACAGAATAGGAAGAGATTTGGTTGATTTACTCGTACAAAAAACTCAAAGGAAACCATGGAACATAGAGGACAAGGAACACAAATAAAGTAGGCATAACTGTACCCGGTTCGCACACGATAGACAACGGTAGTAACAGAGGAATTAAAAATACACCTATCTAGAGATACAACAACAGAGGACTCACCAGCCTTCCAATTAGAAGCTCCTGAGTCAATAACCGAAGGAGTAGATCTCTGAGATGTAAAAAGTAAAGAAGTACTTGAGTTGGCAAGGGTGGCAATGGAAGTGGAATAGTGGATTGTAGGTTGTTGTACTTGCTTAAAAAGGTTATTATATTCTTGTCATGAAAGCACAACAGAGTCACCAGCAGAATTTGACTGTGGTTGATAATCACTAGATCCATCTAGACAAATATCATCACTCTTAAGATGTATAAGTAACGTCATTTGCCCAAGAAGGCTTACCAACCTTATCCCCGCACTTATCATCTGTATGCTTTGTACAAGCATAATGCATATACTTTGGAGTACCACAACCCCTGCCTCAATCATCTCTACCACGGCCTCTTCCTGAGTCACGACCACGTCCCTAACCTCTGCCTATATCACTACTCCCCATAATGTATTCAACGTCGATCCATCTCTAACACGCAAGTCAAAAGATGGCATCAGAAGGGAAGATATACTAACAGTTGAATGCGTGCACATACATTATTGAGGGAAGGTAGCTCATTGCTTGCCAAAATCTGTTCACGAGTTGGAAGATACTTAGGATTAAGACCCGATGAAAATTTGGAAACTCTGAATTCTTCATCCTGCTTCCTCTATCATTCCACATCACTAAATATAAGCTGATGCAAATTTAGTTCTTCCCACTTCCTCTCAGGGCACTATAACATCACTCAAACTCTTATTACCATGTTACAATTGAAACATTTTCTCAAACAATTCATATATCTGAGAGATATTCCTATGTGATGAATATGTTTCTTTCAGAGTGTCCCAAATTTCTTCAGCATTGTTGAGAAACATGTTCCTTGTCCTCTATTTAGAACCAACTCATAATTGCATCATTCTTTCTCATCCACTCTTCATATCTAATATAAATTCACTAAGTGTTACAATCCCGCCCCCTTACCCCTGCTGCCCGCCGGCTAGTACGGCAAGGGTAAGGGGGCGGGGTCGTGACACTAAGCTTGTCTTAGGTCAAGTATTTCAATTTCGGGGTTTAATTTCATTAGCTATGAGCATACAAATAAAAGATAAAGGAGGCAATCAGGGTCAACAAAATACATTCACTCACACCAAGCCTAGTGCAATGATGCTAGGAACTTTTTTAAAGCTTAATCCGACCGATTCAGTCGATTCCCGATCCGGATCGCCGATTCGCCGATCTGGATGGGTTTTTAAGATGCCCGATCGGGGTCACCGATCCCTTTTTAAACCACTGGTTCAGCCACATAACCGTGCTGAAATTACCCAAGATCAGCTCTAGAACATTCCACATGTGCATGTTTGAGATGGGCACTGGATTCAATAGTCAAACCACCGTCACCTATTGATTATCCTTGGAATCTCTATCTTTTTCTTTGTCGAGGATCAGTTCAACAATGAAATCTTGTATCTATTAAAAGATCTTGTTTTCATCTAAGTATATATCAAAGATTGATGGCAGATCCCAATCTATAAGCCGCTGATTTTCGATACAATCAGCGTCAAAATCAAGAATGTCCTCATTCAAATCGAAAACTTTATAGTGATATTCCTTGCGTCTAGGTTTTCTATCACTTTTCTCTTGACTCAACTATTCACATAGAGCATAGAGGTGAAAAGGATTGTATTCAGCATCTTCTTGGGCCGAAAAATCACCTTCTTCACCATGAATAATGCTCACAAACTGTTGCACTAGCTGTTGAATTTGTTGTTTACGTTCTTCAATTTCTTTGTCTTTAGGATCACAAAGTAAGTCTATGAAAACCCCCTTCCACGTCCTCTTCTTGCTGCCATAGATTCACCGAAATCACAAACCCTATGTAGAGAATCAACTAAACCTTTTTGAAATCAGCAAGATCTAGACTGACTCGGAAAAACTTGGCCCAAAATCAGCAAACCCTAGACTCAGGTATAGTTTCCCGGCATTGTTGTTAAAGAAACCTGAACTCTTATACCAAATTGAACTAGAGAAATTGAGAACACACTAAAATCAACAAGAATGTTTCAGGCCAAACACAACAATAACTTGGAGAAACCTAGGGTTTCCTCCTCACCTGAAGCAAGGGTTCCAAGAGCCTAAGCTTTTATTTCTCTTTCAATTCTAAAAATCACATGGAATGAGCCAAAAGGCCTCATGCACCTCTAACTATATTCTATATATGTTCAAAGGATACTTAATTGTCCATATAAGTGAGAAATTAACTCCCATGTCCTATCTTACGCATAAAAGTCTAGAATACCCTTATTAAAAATTCTAGCAATAACCCTATGAACAATAACCCGTGAATAGTACCCGTGAATGGTAATTACAAATAATTACCAGTGAATTGTAAAAAAAAGTATAAAGAAAAATATAGAATACCTAAAAAATTTAAAAACCCTAAACCTAAAATCAAACTATACATCCTTTGAAATTGAGTAAAACTTAAAAATAATATTAATATTGTCCTGCATCATTTTATACTACATATGACATTCAACCACCTATTATAGCTAATTTTTCTTTTTCCTTTTGGTAACTAAATCATAGCTATCTGACTGGAAAAAGAAAATAGACACTAGATTAAGAGAGATCAAACAAAGCTTAATACAGTAGGTTTCTTCCACTCAGGATGCTTAAATTTTTTTGTGTTCCTCCTCGGCAAAACATTCTTCTTAGCAAAGGCAGACTTTCACATTTAACATATAAAAACCTATCCAAAACTTAGTAAGCCATTGTAAAAGACTTGAAATTTTGTGGGACAGAATCAAAAGGATACAAGTCATACTTGAATCAGAGACCAAAAAGAGGAAAAGAAAAAAAAAATCTAAAACTTCATGTGGCACTATATGCTTAGGAAGAATTTCCCTTTGCATAGATGTATACACAACAAAAAATTTACTAAAAAAGAAAAAAATAAAACAGCAGAGTATCACTTACTGTTGCCATCAGGATACCACCAGATACTCCTCCAATAAAAGATCCCTTACTTCCAGACCTTGTATCTGTATTCATATAGTTCTTCTTTAGATAACAGTCACACAAGTACAATGCATTTCTTTATTAATGGTTAGCACATATCATAAGGGTATTGTGGTCACTAAATTCTTATATCACCATAGCTGAGGGAATTTTTCCAAAATTATGCTTAGAGAAATCAATTATTAGTAATATCTTTTACTCAACATGGTACCTGTGAGGAAGCTTCAAAGCGCCATGGGGATCAAGGGGAAGCCATAAGGCTCTCGCAATCAATAATTAGTTCAGAAACACAAAAAACAACAGTAAGGGGTGCTCTACATCCAGCAATTTCCACAAATCTACCAATGGTTGGCACAAATCCATCCAACGTTTTGAAATTTCACAAGATGACCACCATCAATTGGTCAAGGTAGAAGTCATTGGTCACCCCTAAACATTAAACCAATGTGATGATGTTTCCTTGATGCTAATACTGGAAAGGTGAATACAAATTCTACTAAAAGATAAAGCAAGCCTTATTCACCCAAACGTTAAAAATCAGAAAATCATCACTGGTTCAAGGATTTGTTTCACATTTTCATTTAAAATCTTTATAAGGTCAAAAAAGAACATAGCAATAACAAAAGAAAAGGAAAACAAATGAAATTTCTCTAGTACACTCACAAATGAATATCATTAGCTAAAAAAAGAAATGGTAGATTCATAGGATTTTCTATAGGGATCTACCACTCGAAAACTCCCATACAAGGATTTAAACTCAAGTAAATCAGCGTAATCCGATAACAATCAACGGATTCAAGTTTATATCTCCAGTGGAATGCACTTGCTATGGCAACTTTGAGGTTGTTGGTTTCAACCAACCTACCCACCAAAAACTAGGACAAATTTGATGTGGAAACGAAAGAAAAAATATGAAATAATTTTATCATTAACAATTGAAACATGAATGGAAGGAGAAAAGTTTGAATAATTGGGATTTGAACCAAAACTTGTTGAATTTTATTTGATCTCTTCATCAACCAGTAGGGCGATCTAAAATTTTTTATAAGTAGCATCGCCATCTGATTCATTTCCATTCCTCATGGAATTCAAAGTAGGGCCTTAGGAGCAAGAGTTAAAAGAGGACCAATACTTTCTCATTTTTAGGAGAAATTATACAGAATTTTGGGGTGTCCTCCTTAGTGTCTTCCTCACCTAAACCTAGCAATTTCCTCAATCATTTAGTCCTTAAGAAACTAGAAATTTGTGTTGCTCATTATAAGTCGAGATTAGCATGAGATGCCATGTAGACTCCGCAACCTATGATAGGAATTTTTCTTTTTTCTTTATCTTTTTCTTTTTTCTTTATCTTTTTCTTTTTTATTGTTAATTGTACTTTATTGTTTCAAATATACAAGCATAATTGCTTTACATCTTCACAAAATAAAAATAATTAGATAAAAGATCAATAGTCCATTCTTGTGCCTATGAGTCCACAACATCATACAATGCTCTTGGAAACAGTTTAGGAAGCACCTTCAACCTTGAACAAATCATCATCATCATCATCATCATCATCATTAGAGCCTTTTCCCAACTATTTGGGGTCAGCTATACGAATCCTGGTCTGCTACTCTACCCTATCAAGGACGATACCCTTAGTGAGGCCATACGTCTCTATATCTTATCTTGCTACATCCAAGCATGTCCTTTTGAGCCTACCCGTTGCCCTTTTAGCCTTCCACTCGAACCTAGGTGCACTCCCTAACATGTGTTGTACTGGGTTGGCGCTGCACATGGCCAACCCACCTAAGTTCAACTTTCAAGCCTGAACAGATATCCAAAATATTTTACAAGATATATGGTAATTTCCACGGGTACCAACCTTAGTAGCTCATGTGATAACATTACAAAATCCCTACCGGCAATGATGGAAGAACTCGGTTCCAAATTTCAGAGATTAATGGCCCATTGGCTTACGCTGCGTTTCCCTTTGCAGCTGCATGTTGAGCCCAAGAATGTCAATATGATCTCTACGAAATCTCATATTCATGCCCAATCCCATGACTTTACATAACTCCCGTCAAGATTTAATTTTTTCAGTTCCTTCAAGAAGTGAGGACCAGTTAAGGGTTTCAACGTTTCTCAGTTGGCATATTCCGCAACGGATTTACACTGATAAAGAAATCAACAGCTGATAACCCCATAGTCCTTTCCTATGTTGTAGCCCAGAAAACAATCATCTCCCTAAAGTTCTTGTATAGCATCATTGAAAAGTCTTTTTTTTTTTTAATAAAAGTCCTTTTGTTTCTTTATAACCATGATGACCATAAAATTGTGATTATGGCCAATCTCCATAACATGCACACAAGAGATGGTAAGGGAGGAGCTATTGCTGAATTATGTATTGGACATTTACAGGACCACCCATGCAAAACCAAGGGATTGAAGGAAATAGCGTTGTACCTATGTTGCTACATCATTATGAAAAAGCAGATATGGAAATGTCTCTGCTCCTTTTTTTACCCATAATGCAAAGTTTTGGTATCTCTAGAGCTTGGACTCCTGATGCAGGGAGAAATAATTAAAATAAAAAAAATAATAAATGGGGAGAGAATATACCCTCTCTCTGGGTTTGCAAGGGAGTCCACCCCAAAAAGCTCTTTCCCAAGATCAACTTACTCAATTCGCATCTCTCTTCTCTTTACAATGAGGGACCTATTCCCTTTAAAAATACTTAGAAGAAAAAAAATAAATAAATAAGAACCCATAAAAAATAAACTCTCTCTAAAAAGTTACGTACATCTTTCCCTTATCTCTCTTTGTCTCATGCCTATCTCCCTATTTCCTCTCACGGGAATCTTTATCCCCTCCCAAAATCCTTCCCTAAAGATTAGTTCCCAATCTGTTCACCAAAATCCTTCCACTTAACAATCACACACCAAAATCCTTCCACTTAACAACTCACGCACCAAAATCCTCTCCCCTCCAACTTAACTTATCCTAGAGCTCTTCCTATTCCTAAGATAAAAATTAAAAAAATATATAAAATAAAAAATTAAACAACCCCAATTTTTATTTGCATCATTCTCCCAAGGTTGGGAGAAGCTCGACCTCGAGATTATACCAACTTGAAGAGGCCAATCAAATAAGTTCCACCATGCGCCTTGGTACTTTTTCTTCAATTTCTTTAATAAATTGATTCATCAAATACTTCGTGCTCATCTCGAAGTAGAACACAGGGATATCAGGCTCAATTGTGATATCTTTTTCTTTTTCAAGTTCCTTATAAAACTTGGGAAGATCGAGCTGAATACCAAGATTATGTGGTTGATCCTCATAGCATGGTTCTTGCATCACAATGTGATCGTCACATTCAGGATCAGCACCCTTAGTTAGTCGTGGGTCTCGATTCATCTCTACAACGAAATCTAGTGTCGGATCTTCATGATTGCAAACACCGTCTTCGTGATGAAGATTGTTCTCCAACTGTTGTAACCACTAATTCATTTCACCAAATTCCCTTCGAACATCCTCCATGACTTTGGTCAAAGTTTCTAAAACTTGCCCCAACCGATCATCCACGGGATTAGCTTTCAGTGACATTGCAATAGCTGGATCTTACTTGCTTTGATACCAACTGATGCAGGGAAGATGGAGGGAAAAAATAATTAAAATAAAAATAATAATAAAAGGTTAGAGAATATACCCACTATCAGAGTTTCCAAGGGAGTCCAGCCCAAAAGATCCATTCACAAGATCCAAATTCTTAATTAAAATCCAATTCTCTCTTTTCTTTACAAGGAGTGGCATCTTCCCTTTAAATACACTTAGAAGAAAATAAATAAGTAAATAAGAACTTATTTACACCTAGAAGAAAATAAATAAATAAGAACCCATAAAAATAAGTTCTCTCTCTAAAAATTCACGCACATCTTTCCCTGATCTCTCTCTCTCTCATGCTTATCTCCCTATTTCCTCTCGCACATCTATCTCCCTATTTCCTCTCACGGGAATCTTTATTCCCTCCCAAAATCCTTCCCTAAAGATTAGTTCCTAATCTATTCCCCCAAAAGCCTCCCACTTAACAATCACACACCAAAATCGTCCCACTTAACAACTCAAGCACCAAAATCCTCCGTCCTCCTACTTAATTTATCCTAGTGCTCTTCTTATTCCTAAGATAAAAATTTAAAATATAAATAAAATAAAAAATTAAACAACCCCAATTTTTATTTGCATCAACTCCTTGGCTCATCAAGGAATTGATGAACATTATCTTAGCCGGGATGTCCAACCACCCAAAAGCTTGTGTTCTTTGTGGAACCAGGACTTTCCAAGCACTTCAAGAAGTGACCGTAGCCTGGCCATTGCTGGAACTTGTCAGGGATTCATAAAATGAGCGCACTGTGAATGCACCTTTATGATTAAGACTCCAAATTAACCTTTCAATACCTCAGCATGAATGAACAGTGTGTTCAATAACCGTAGCAAGGCAGCTACAGCTCTGATTTCATGATACCTGAAGTTTTGAATAAATTGTACATTCCTTCTTTTTTTGGCGTATTAAACACTCTGTTCAATAAGTAGGTTTTGAGCAGGTAGCCACCTCCTGTATTAACATGCATGAAAATTAACACTAAGCATGGGAGTGTGTAATTTAAACTTGAGTGATTCACGATGATCAAAACCTATATATTTCTTTTATATAAGCTTTGTTAAAACACTCCATGGCTATAAGAAAGAGTTATGGGGATAAGGGATTTCCATATCGAAGCCCATTTCTGCCCTTAAAGTAAGAGGTATCATTAAGGAGTATGTATATATTTGAAGTTCATTGATTAAAAATTCTCAATTTAATTTGTCAAAGGCCTCATGGAGGTATATTTTTAAACAAAAGGCTCATTCTTTTTTTACCATGGATAAGCTCATGCGCAATTAAAGCCTTTGTGAAACTGCTTCCGTTTTGTAGAAAGGCATCCTGGACAGAGCTAATGATGCTGGTGAGCACCTCTTAAAGTATATTATCAAAGATTTTGCTTATAACCTTATAGATACATTGCAAAGGCTACTAGGCCAATAGTTGATGGTGCAGAGAACACCTTATAGATACATTGCAAAGGTTATTAGGCATATAGTTGATGCTGGAGAGTTTCTTATCTGAAATTAGAGTGACGAATGTTAAGAGATCGCATTATCGTTAAGAGACTGCATTATTGATTTCCTATGAGAGATGTCTTTTGCTACTTGTCATTTCCGAACCCATTATGTGCCCCTGTATTTTAAAAAATTCAGCATGAAAACCATTGGGTCCAAGGAACTTGTTTGGGCTTAGACTTGTTACAATATTAGCAATTTCCTCAGAGGTGACTTCTTTTTGGAGGAGTTGTTTTCTCTCTTGTTGATTTAGATTTCATGGGGAGAATCAGATTTGAAGGAGACTGGTTGCACTCTTCCTAGAGCTGTTGTAAAAGCTAGTAACTCCATGGATGACCTCCTCCTTGTTGTTGGAGATTAAGCCATCTTACTTTTTAAGTTTAGAAATGGTTGTTCCGCACTCCTAATAATTGTTTTTGAGAAAATAGAATTTTCTATAAGAATCACCATGGCAATCCAGTTTTGTGTTGGGCTTTATTACCAAAAAGAATCCTCATTCGAGAGTGCTACGGTGAACCCCTCTTGAGTTTTGTTTCCTCCCCTTAAATTTCAAAGTGATCTGTATTTAACTCAAGTTGTTCTTGTACCATATCTATTTTTTCGTCAATCCACCTTCAAGGAGAACCAAACCAAAGACATCTAAATTTCAAAACTTTAGGGCCTTTTGAAGCTTTTGAATTTTGGGTGGATGCCATTTCATGCCAACCATTTTTTTATAATCTCCAATTTTTTACAATCTCCTCACAATTTTATTCTTAAAACCTCATGTTCAAGACTTTCAAAGGTTTAGGTCCCCAATCAAGGAGCTGGTCAAATTGGAGTGCAACAGGTTGGGGTTTGAAGTCAGTATTGGTAAGCAATTTACTTTAGAGTTAAGGAAAGAACTGAGTAATTTGTTCGAAGCAATATTCTATCTAGCTTTTCATAGATAAAAGCTACTCCTACTTCGTTCTTTCCCCAAAAGCAATTGTAGCAGTGTTTCCTGAATTCTATGAGGCCACAATTGTTGATCATTTCTTAAAATTCCACTACATCTCTAAGGAATAGCTTTCCCTCTTCTTTATTCCACATAAATATTCTCGATGTAGAAATTAACTGCAATTAGCAATGGGTTTGGATTAGCAAGGGAGGCACGAATTCCAACAACGGGTCTCCACAAGTAAAATGGCTTTTTGAGAAGTACATTAAGGAGAGAGTACAAGCGGCAGAATATGAGGGTTTTGGTGAATTGTTGTGGACTGCTTTGGGGAGAGGAGGCAATGATTTGGAAATTCATGTCATTCATGTTGAAATTTGACATTACAACCCTTTTTACAGATAAATCATTCCACCGATTCTGCAAGTGTGGCTTCCGGAGCACTAACTGTATTGAGATGGATCCTTGAGGAAAGTGTCACCCAACCACAGACGTTTCCATGAGCTAACTTTGTCCCTAGCTTCTAACATATATTGCATCTACCTAATGAAATCTCCCTTGTATCATTTATGCTCCTCATTGCTCCTAAGGCATCCCTAGAAATAATTGTCAACGCCAAAGCAACGATTCATCACCTACTTCCTTAGGTGTGTCTTTTGGATTTCCAAAGCACCACCACCATTTTCTAATAAAACATCATTAGTTTGTTCGATTTTTCAGGTCCCCAACTCCTCGTAGCTTAGGAAGACACATTGTGTCCCAATTCACCAGGTTGTATTAACCTTTGTTGACTGACCATTTCCCAAGGAAATCACACCCTAATCATTTGCTCTTATTCCCCACACTTGTGGGAATTTTTACATGCACATTGCAAACCCTGATATGCCGGAATGTCGGAAAAAGGTAGCTTTGATAAACATAATCCTGACCCCCACTGACAGGTATATCGTCTTCCACATAGCTAGCCTACATCTAAATATTCTAAGGTGATTTCTTTTCTTTTGGCCTCATAAGTAAGAGATTTGAACCCAAAACCATACAGTCCTGACAAATAATCCATGCATACAGATGCACATGTTTGTTGTATCTTATCACATATCTTCCCACTGTCAAGTGCTATTCAATCCCTGTGAATTTCTCAAGGGTTGTGATACTAACTCCTGAGCATTAAAATCAAGATTAAAAGGCACATACTTTAGATTCTCCATGATATTAAAAAAGCCATTTAAAAATGACTATTTCATTATTATTCCGGTTTTCGAAAACCCATGATTTCCATGTAAAAATTATCCCGAAGAATTGCATACCTTACCTCGTCGATTCTAGTGTATAATAACATTGTCAGTCTATAACTTAATGGTACTTTTTTCTGCGTTCCATCCCCTAGTAGCTAAGACAGTTCAATTTAAACCCAACAAGAAAACCTCGATAAACCAACGAAAAAAGCACAAGTGCGAGGAAAATAATAACAATCAGCAGAAACACAGAGAACCCATTTTCAAACAAATTGAAAGAGAATACTGACCAATGACATTGCATCAACATTGCCAAAAAATAAAGGAATTAAAGGAAGAAAACCTACAGGCAAAAAGGCCTCCACCCAAGAGGAGCGTTCCATAGACAGCAGAAGCTGCAGGTGCAAGCTCTGATAGTTGAGCAATGCAACGTAAGGATCCAAACCCATTACCAATGTTTGTTCTGTAAAGACAGGAAGCTCCAGGAAAGTAGCCATGGCTGTAAAAATGAGAGCTTTTCTGACGAAGAAGAAAAGATGCGGAGAGGGGAGATGCGTGAGAGATCGAAGCAAGCAACATGTTTACTGGTAATTTACCCCATGACCAGGGGAGCGCTCTTTTCGCCAGCTGCGGGAACGGTAGGACGAGGGGACGATAAAACCAGGTATAATGTGATCCCGCGGGATCAATTGTATATCTGCTCCCTCCGGCAAAATACCTACCATGATTTTCGAAAGGGTGTGGTTTCTATAAGGTTGCAAATTTAACCGATCCAATTAAGGTGCACCTCCAAATTTTATCATAAAATGTAATTTTGGTAAAAAATAATTACTAGGATTACCTCAAAATCTATTTTCATATCTAATTATAAAATTTTAAATTTCAAAAATAGTTAAAATCAAGTAGATTTATAAACATATGAAAATATTGAAAATGGATGGTCTAGATAATGTATGGCAAGATGCACTATTTCTGAGACTTAATTTTTTATTTTTTCTCATATTCATACATCTCGATGTCGAGATGATCAATTCAAGTTTTTTTAGCATTAAAACAACCTTTTTTGATGGATTTTTGAGGTGCATCTGTAATTCTACATTTGAAGGTTACAACCTTATATAAACTTTTTCCTTTTTAGAAAGGATGCAGTTTTACATGCCTAGGTTTTATGAAAACAAACTAAAGTTTCATTTCAATTCCTCATCTGGAAAGCATATGTTTTTTAAAAAAATTTATGGTCTAGATAATGTGTTACAATATACATTATTTTTAGAGTTTGAAATCCTAATTTTTTTAGAACCATAATGATTAAGGACGTGACGATCAATTTGAATGTTTTTCCACGTCAAAGTTTCTATTTTCGGTAAGTTTTAAGGTAAAGCATTAGTTATTTAATAGGGTCGCGCCCTATCAAACTATTTTGAAAAAATTACAAAAAAAAAAAAACCCTCAAGAGGAGACTTTCTAGACAACCTACCCCCAACAAAGTTTTGTACCAACTTTTACCCCCGGTTGAACTTTTTAAGCAAATACCCCCAAATCAAAAAAAGTCATATTTTTTTAACGAAAATGCCCATAATACCGGACTACCCCCATTTTGTGCTGGACTGCAAGCTTTTCAAATGGTATTTTGGTCTTCATTTTACCTTTTTTATGACTTGTGGGTATTTGCTAGAAAAGATAAAATTTGAGGTAACAAGTAAAAAAAAAATTGGTTGGGGGTAAGTTGCATAAGAAGTCTCTTCTTGGAGGTTATTTGTAATTTACGCAAATATTTTCATTTCCTTATTTTTGGGATGCACTTTATTAGACAAGTAATTTCAAAAGAAAAACAATGGATTTTCAGTTTTTACATCCCTAGATCTCAGAAAATGAGGTAAGGCTTTACTCATCTAATAGGACTGCAGCCCTATCAAACTATTTCCATTTCCCTAATTTTCTGATGCAATTTATTAGACGAGTACTTTCAAAAGAAAAATAACGGATTTTCAGTTTTTGGCAGACCTAGCTCCGATTGTTCAGAAAATGAACGATCTGATAATGATGATGACAAACCTAGATCTTATTGTTCTTATAATGATGATGACAGACCTAGATCTGATTGTAAGAAAATGAGCCATCAGACGTTTGATCGTAGAGCATAAACTTTTGTAGGTGTGCAAATCTTCTTTTCCTAGGTGCTTTGTTCAGTGTGTAGATTATATATCCAGAATTTTGTGGCCTAAGAAGATTATATATCCAGAATTTTGGGGCCTAAGAATACACTTTGGTAAGGTATTATTTGAGGAAAACCGTGCATTTTGTTCTTACTAGAGCATAGAATCATTTAGGCACTTAAGAAGACTACCCCTTGTTTATAATAAACAAGATGAAAAAATCATCGCTAACATATTTTAGCCTCTTAAGGTTTTGGTTTCGAAATTTTGTTAAAGAATTTTTTAGACTTTCCTTTATTGTTTTCCATGTAAGTTCAAATTTTGAGATTTGTCTTATTTGGAATTTGAGGAATCAAATCTTATTTTTTGCTTTTCTAATAATTAACTTGTGACAATTTCATTTCTTCAATCAAAGATTTACAAAAGGAAAAATGTTTGGTGAGTCAGCTGACTCACTATTTTTGTGCGGTCTGCCTACAAAATATATCTCAAAGATGATATTTTCGACCCAAAATATTACGGTTCGATAATCTTAACCATGACAATGATTGAATTTCGGAATTTTTCTTTTTCAAAAAATGTAAATGTTATTTTTCGAATTCCTTTCTTCACCGTCCATTTTAACTTTGCGTGGATGTAACATTTTTTGACATCCATCTTAGAGATGGACGTCAGATAGACAAGGGACCGTACGGTAATAGGTGAGTCGGAAACTGTGTCCTTTACAAAATCGTATCCTTTTACAAGTATCATTAAGTGTTGACTACCAAAATGCCATAGCTAGACCCCAATTTTGCAAGGGCATCTGTTATTGCATTACTCCCTATAGCAATGCATAATTAAATTTTATCCCACCAATGTTATTCCAAATTTGGTAAAATGTAGGGATCAATCTCCATAGTATGCTTTGCTCACCTTAACTGCAGCTGATAACATTACATGAATTCCATTCAATTATCCACCCCTTTGTATACTGTCTAATAATTCCTCTCCTTGCAATAATGCCTTGTGCTCGGCTTCATTGGCAGTACATTTTCCTTCTGAACTAGAAAATGAGACTTTAACAACAGGATTTGAGTCTCTTATCACTCCTACCTGCAACACTAGGGTTCCCATCCGAATTTCCATCAAAGTATAACATAGTAGTTCCTCTAGGTGGTGGTTTCATATATCGGCCCTGTTTTCTTTCAGTTCTCAACTTAATTACTTCTAGAGTCTTGTTTATCTCCCTACACTCCTTCCTAAAGAAAGCTCCCATTGTTGTGTCAGGAAGAATACCAATCTTGTCTACATTAGTAATAACCCTTCCAATGCATCACTCCTAGCTATTAGTTGTCAAATTGAATGGTTTGAAGTGTGTCACAAAGTTCTTAAAAAAACAATTTGAACTTTGAATCTAGTCAATAACACTCTTACAACCACCTGATTGGAAATCTAATGGACAAGAGCAATTGTGACATCCTTATATTAAAAGTAAATAACCTAATTGTATTATTTTTTTATTTAAAAAAAAAAAAAGTTCAAATGTTATTTGATTTCACCCATTCCATCATCATCATAATACAACTACCAAGAGGGTCCACACTATTTTTCCTATCTAGGTGAATGGGGCCTTAAGGATCATGAGATTGATGAAAGCTTCTAAGGTTACCAACTGTATATTAACTGTCTGTAAAGTCATCCCGTCTCTCTCTAATTGCCAGGCATAAACAAATATTCTAGTCCTCATCCATTTTGCCTATCAAGCTTACATTTGGCAGGATCTTACCTCTCTCTTCCTCAAAATTATCAACTATACATATCTTCTTGTGACAGTCGCCACATAAATGCTTGGACTTTATGAGAGACTGATAAGGGCCATATCTTGCTCCTTCATTGCATCCCCAAGCTCTATATTATTAAATAAAAGCTGATATAAAGATGTCCAAGAAAATTGCCCACTGGTAGTAGCTTCCAATATGACCTGATCCTCTCCATAAGGGGTAACAGTATACCTCACTTTGTTTCATCAAGACCATAATTTGTTCAATCATTCTATTACCAACTTTTCTAGACAATGCAATTTGTGCTCCACACACTTTTGACTACCCTTCCTAGTAAACTAGTGCACTCTTTGCCTCAAGAAAAAGCACTCCTTTGGAAACCATCTGGGAACTGAATTTTAAGAGTAGCATCTCATGTCCCTGCCATTTGTTTACATTGTTTGCACCACATGTGATGGAATGAGAAAATACTGCTCCTTAATGATCAAAAAAACTAGTTGAAAAAAAAAAAAAATATTTAATGATGATGAGATCAAAAGCAAACATACATGAGAAGAAAAATTATCTCTTACATACAAAGAACACTAGATTGTTTAAAATATAAAGAACAATTACTTTGGGTAAAAATAAGTAACATGTCATTTCTCTCTTCCCCAACGACCTATTGCATTATCTCCTTATTTCCGACAAGTACCAAACTTATCCAACTAAAGCCTTGAGGAGGCACTATCTTTAGGGGTCCTCAAGGTCCTCTGAATACAAGATTTGGAAGATTATAACTGGATCATCACTAAATCACAATAGTAGGTCTTCGGTCACTAGCCATTTAATTGGGACCACATCATTTCATCATAGCACACAAATATTATGAATCAAATAAGACCATATCAAATCCATCACACTTGATGGACAGTTAAGCAGACTTATGCACATCCAATACACTACTAAGGCAATTTTATTCTCTCCAACTTCGCGTCAAGGCTTCCCATTCCTCAGGATCTCGGAAATATCTTAGGGCGGGCCCAGCTATCTGTAAAACACTAATTCATATTTTATTCATGTAGCAGGTTAGAATGCTATGCAATATCAGATACATGTAAATACTTTGAGGCCCTTCTATAAAAGAGATTGCATATAAACAGCGATATCGACATCTGGGCCCTGCCAACCAATAACTCTCACGGTCTCTCTACTAGAAAGCAGAAACATCCCAGCCCAAAATTGCAGTCGGTTAATACACCACGGTTAAGAGGCCAAACAGAGACTGCCTTCAGCTCAGCCAAGAGATCTTTACCCTACTCTACCGTAACAGAATATGAATATACATTAAACCAGAAACAGAGAGAGAGAGAGAGAGAGAGAGAGAGAGAGCAACAAATTGACATTCCTGCCTAGGTTTGCAGGATGCGACAGGAGTCCCTAATCTGGCAGTGCCCACTCTCATTGAATTGCGCAATTCAGAGAGAGAGAGAGTGAGTGAGAAAGGCCTGTTCAAGGGTGTAAGAAGTCACAGGATGAACCCTTCTTGCAGTGTCCACTCTCATGAAACTTGCACACTTTCTGCCCTCTAGATGGCCTAGGCCCACCACCACCAGGCCTTCCACTCCAAGGTCTTCCACCATGGCCTGAATCACCATACCACCCACCACCTCGACCAGAAGACAACCCATCTCCATCATGCCTCTGTGGACCCCAGCCACCATGGCCACCACCCTCCGAAGCTTTGTTAGCCCCCCATCCCATATTCGAATTTCCACTAGAGCCCCAAACCAAATTAGGGCTAGGGTTTTCGACAGCTCCCCATCCTGAATTAGGGTTAGGGTTTCCGAGAGCTGTTCCCCAGCTCGAATTGGGGTTTGGGCTTTCTTTTGTTGTTCCCAGACCTGAATTAGGATTAAAGTTTTCTTGAGCTGCAACCGAGACCCACCCTGAACCAGAAGTCCGATCAATGGTAACTGAGGTGGGTGCACTCCATTGGTGACCACTCAAACCCGATGCACCACCCCAAGGATGCACTCTTTCTTGAGCTTGACCCCAACTATCAAGAACAGCCCTAGGGTTCAAGTCAATTTGTACTAAACCATTGGACTGGGATCCATGGTCATTGATGGTAGGATTTGGGATTATATTCGGTACCTGAGAGTTCACAGAAGGAGCCTGGGAAAAACCACCAACAGTTTCCACCACTGAACCTTGCATATTAAAGAAGTGAGAATCTTGAGATAGCTTTGCAGTAACAGGTGCTTGCGGTGACCAAACCGATAGGGATCCCTGACCGAGAGAAGAAACAGCAACTACCGAATCTTTTGTGACTAGGGCTTCCCCAGCACAAACAGAAGTAACAGAAGGGCTCGTCTCGAAACCCGCTCCGATATTTGAAGTGCCTTTTTCCAAGGTGGATGTTGGAGTTGCACCAGGAGTAGGGCTCGGAAGGTCATTCCCGATATCCTGGTTCAAGGTCTCATTCCCTTTTGGCACCGAAACCATTGGAACTGAACCTGAGAAAGAAGACAGAGATTGTGAACTCCAAGTGTTTCCCTGACCACCCCAGCTACCATTTTCTGGTTTAGTAGTAAGAGATACGCCTGTTTGTTTGTTCTCCAATTCCATATCCCCTGTGAAACCGCCTGAACTTGATTTTGGAGTTGGAGTAGGCAATTCTGACAATTCATTCTTGCTGGTTTGCTCACCAGATTCCCAAACTTCTTTTGATGACTTTGTGTTCACAACTAATGAGGAGGCAGACCAGTCCTTCAAGGAATCACCACCATCATTAGCATTGTTACCACCAGAATGAGCTCCCAGTTCTCTATTTGAATTCCAACTATTTCCATGATTTTGACCTGTATTCCATCCAATCCCTCCTAGGCTTTCACTTCTTTGATTAGAAGCCGTTGCAAATGTTGCTGGAAATTGAGGTGTGGTTTGGTACCTTTGGCCATGGGCCTGTGAAGACCATGACTGATTAGGGTTAGAGGAACCTCCAGCCAGTCCCTCCTTAATTTCGGCCACTCCAGTCATAGTTCCTTCCCAACTCGATGACTGGCGCTCTTTAAGGAACTTACCAGCCAGTGCATCCGTCAAAAGCATGGCATCTTCTTGCCTCTCCAAAACTTTCCATATTTTCAGCTCAGCAGGGAAATAACCAGTAGTGCTCCACTTTCTTAACTGGGTCATAGAGAAAGGCCCTTGAATTGCTCCGGATGGGTCTTGATAGTGCCAAACCTTCTCAGTCTCAGAGGGCACCACAAGTTGGGCTGTTGGTGCATTTACCCCTACCAAACTAGAAGGTAATTCTGACTTAGACGCATTGCTTGATGGGGCAGATCCAATTATAACCGGCTGTGTTTTGCTCGATGACCAGTCATTTGATTGGTTCCGAAGGGTTTGGTTGGTCTGCTGATTACAAGTTTCATCGCCTTTTTCTTCCTTGGGAGTTCCCCATGTTGAAGCGCTCTTGCTACGATCCCACGTGTTTCCAGTGGAAGAAGCACCACTGCCTCCCCTTTCCCATGAACCAGATTTTCCCACACTATTTCTGCTTGAATCCCGAGTACCCCCCGAACTTCTCCTGGTGCCACCGTCCCAGCCTTCACTTGAAGCTCCTTTGCCTGGAGAAATTGGATCATTCCCCTTTCTAGAAGAAAATCTGGCATCTCTGGGTGTCCTGTAGTTTTCTGGAAGAGAGAGAGAGAATCAGAAGATTGTAGACTTGAAAAGAAAAAGCAACATCAAGAAGTTCACTGCACAGCCCATCCTATCCAAACAGATAGGTTGTACAGGTTATGCTATATGTTGTACAGGTTATGCTATCCAATACCACGCCATGCCTAACACACACACACACAGACAAAGCATCTGATGTGGTTGTAAATTTGAACACGAAAAGAAATAACATTAAAGGTTTTACCACAACATATGCTCTATAAATAAACAATTGTTAAAAAATCGGCTATGCAGAATCCTACTAAGAAGAAATAGGCATATACCACTCTTAGTATCATCTGGTTCTTCCTCGGCGTCGTCAGACTCATGGTCTGGGTCCATGTTTGGGTCTGTATGCACATCTGGCAATTCATTAAGCTTGCGTTCGCGCTCTTCAGGGCTTTTCAGCACCTGCAGCTTTTCAACACACTCCCTAAGCGTAATATAAGGTCAAGGTATACTAGGGCACTGTTTTCAAAGGTCAAGCATAAATCAATTCATATATCTACTTGCACCATTACAGGGCGCATTCACCATAATGAGTTTTTATCACCTAATATCCCCACAATAGAAGAGAAGATCTATGTAAACAAATGCACATGCATGTACGCATGTCGAAATATGAAATACCAACATCATGAAGTACTACGGAAAAAAAGGATGTCCAGAGTAACTTCCCAACTGTGTATCGGACAAACAATTTAGGTTCTAACCCCATAATGGGTAAAATGATTAAAAGGAACAAACCATGTGTCTCTTCGTGAAAGAAGACATGAGAACTTCATAAATGGATTTTGACTGTTAGTTGTTGGAAACGCCTGTGAATCCAAGTTGTTTTACAAATCAGAATGTCATAATCGCGGGTAGCCAGATGATTCCTCTAGTAAGAATCGCTATCCGAACAATGCATATCACATGAAGCGAGATTCCTACCATGTCAGAATCCAAATCTCTTGACTGTTGGTGAGTTGAAAGTCGGAGGCTACCGGGCCGTCTTTGTCCAAGGCTATCGGGAAGGTAGGGGTAAAGGTCTTTTAGAGTTTGGTCCCCTATCCATAGGTGCTTCCAGAACAAAACACAGTCCCCTGCGTTACTCTGTACCTGAGGAGTTACATAAAAGTATCCCCACAAGAGAGTGAACCATAGAAAAAAGCAGAGGTCATCAGTCTACAGTTATCTGAGAAAAACCAATCCAGACAGTCAGATACATAGGGCATTGTGGTCAGTGGCAAAACACCACTACCATTTTCCTAAGAGAGACCGATTGGTCAATTTATGATTGCAGATCCCTATACCACTGGCTTTTTTCGTTGACAAACTTTGTCCCAAGAAATGAGGGGTATCTTTTTGGCAGAGTGGTCTAAGGACCAAAGGAAAGAGCGCATACGTTTGTTAAGATTTTTGATGACCAAGGCAGGCATAACAAAGATGGATAGAGCATACATAGAAGTACTTGAGAGTAACTTGATGAGAGCGATCCCCCCACATAGGGAGAGAAACCAGCCTTTCCACGATCCCAGTTTGTATCAAAATTTTTCAATGATGGGGTCCATAGAGCTTTCCAGGGGTTCCCCACACAGAGGCAGGTCATGACATTTAAGAAGTAAGGAAGCATTCGAGCATCCAAGTCTATGGGCCAGGGAGTGCAAAAGATTATCAGGAAGATGTATTGCTATGAGTTTGGATTTGGACATATTGACTCTCATGTTTGCAGCCAGTTTGAAGCAGCATAGAAATAACCAAAGTTTATCGATTTGCTAAGGGTTGGAATCGAGGAAGACTAAAGCAATTTGCTAAGGGTTGGAATCAAGGAAGACTAAAGCGTCATCAGCATACTGAAGGTAGCTAATCTCAACTCCAGCCCTGGAGGTTTTGAAGCCCTTAAAGGTGCCATTTAGGTATATAGTCAAGAGATAGACCTGAGGTATAGACCTACCAAAAATTTCTGCAAAGAAGGCAAAGAGAAAAGGGGATAGAGGATCTCCTTGCCGGAGCCCTCGAGTACCGGGGAAGTACCCCTTAAGAGTGCCATTGATTAGAACAGCGAGAGGAACAAGCGATACATGCTTCAATCCATTGACTCCACCTAGAGTGGAAGCCCATCCCATTGAGGATGAGGAGAAGACTTGGCCAAAGGACGTGCTCATAAGATTTTTCTAGTTGAGTTCGAAAATGAGGCCACGGGATCTTGGAGGAGTGGCAGAAGTGGATAGCTTCATGTGCCACAACTGCACTATCCACAATTTGCCTTTTGTAGACAACCTCACTTTGTTGTGGGGAGATGATGTTGACCATAACTGACCTGAGCCTGGTGGCCAGGATCTTGGAGAGGATTTTATAGGAGGAATTGAGGCGGCTGATGGGCCTACAATCTTTGAGGTCATTGGCTCCCTCGAATTTGGGAAGTAGAGCAATTGAAGCGCTATTCAAATTTTCGCTGATAGTGTACCTGTGCTGGAATTCGTGAATAAAGGCAGAGATGTCGGGGAGGAGAAGGTCAAGGAAATTGGTGTAGAAAGCAATGGGGAAGCCATCTAGCCCAAGGGCCATGTCCTTACCAAGGGAGGTGATGGCAGAGTGCCTTCCTTCAGGTACGAAGGGCCTGATCAGAGTAGAGGCTTCAGTATGAGACATAGACAAGACAGTGAAATCAAACATGAGTCATCTAGGCCCCTCTTGAACTGAGAAAAGGTTGTTGAAGAAAGAGATGGCGGCATTTTCAATGACCGAGGGGGTCGGAGAAAGAAACAGGGTCAATGGAAACTTGGTTATAGTATTGCAGCTACGGCGGCAGCTCACGATGAGGTGAAAGTAGTGTTTTTTTCACCAACAGCGAGGGGACAGTGGGTTGAATGGGCTAAGCTCCGGTGGATGTCTTAGAGGAAATGGCTTGGGCATAAGAAGACTTTAGGTTTGGAATTTGCAGACATGGAATGAGTGGGGTTTTGTTTGGGTTTTGGAGGCGGGTGATGGGTGATAGGTTTAGTGGAGTAGATCTGATTGGGGTATAAATGGTATAAACCTGGTGGATGTGATGTAATAACAAGTTGGGGTTTCTTACATGAAGACCTGAAGGAGCTTTAAATGGAGGTCGACATAATAGGAGATGATTCCAATGTCTTGGGAATGAGATTCAAAAAATGTGGAATCGTGATCTCTAACTCCCAAGAATCGAGATATGTAAAAATTCAATAACGAAAACGCGGAATCGAGATTCCAAGCCAGAATCGCTACCTAGGGTAGATGAGTCCAGTAACAATAACTCTGACTTCCTCTCTCCTTCAGTAGGGAGCAAACATTTCTGTGGCTTCCTCCCTCTTGTGCAACAAAGCATGGTCTTTAGAAAGGGGATTAAGCATTAATCCAGTGGAGATTCATGTTTCCGTAAGTCTAAAAGAAACTGACGTGTCTGACAAGCATGAAATTCTAATCAGCTCCAGATGAAACAGGCGTACCAAATTAATCTGACAAGAAACTCCAACCAATTTTAAAGATCTGCAAAAAACGCTAAATTGGCCTGCCCAATACAATAAATAACAAGTGGGGCACACAGCATAAGTAATATAGCCAATAAAATAGGGTGCAGTTTGGACATTCCCATATTTCTATGAAAGAACAGTTCATCTAGAAAATAAAGGCATTTCTAAATAAAGAAAATAAAGGCAAGGGAATGCTTCACAAGGTTTTTCAAATAAGAAGAAAAGAGTAGCTGCCTTGCCCATTAATACTGGAATGGAATGGACCAAGCAATAGCCCTTTTCACTCACAAATGGGCAAGTGAGAGAAAGGGATAATGTTTTAACAAATAGTCTGTTCAACTGAGGTCGCAGTGAACAACAACATAGGATGAGAAATAAATACATGAAGCAACAGTCTCTAGAAGGCCATTAATAGACTTATACTATATCATCCATTAAGGGGTGGTGCCTAACAAGCCTACAGAATGAAAAGACATGTACAAGCCCTTTTGAAGCATTTTAGTTATTTTCTTCTCAAGCTATGCAATACTTTCTTCGCCTGAAAGAGAAGATTGATCAAATGGATATTCACATTGTTTGTACTTCTCTAGATAATAATTTCACTAAAAAAGGAAAGAAGAAATCCCAAAAAGCAGGCTTCAAGAACTATAATGATTTGAAATCCAATGGCTCCAGGATAACCTTTTCAAACCAATATTTGCTAGGCAATCTGCTATGCTGTATACTTCTGCAGAAGAGCAACAAAGTCATTAAGCCTCGAGGAATGACATTTCCTAAATATTGAACATGCATATAGTCCCCTTCAAGGAACAATAAAAAAAATCACAAAACTTCTAAGTCCTCTTAGCTCACTAAGATTTACCGTACCATTGAAAAACATCCAACTATCCCCATAGTTCAGCATCTGGCAAGTCCTGCAACACCTATTGAGCCTTAATTTCCTTTCAAGCATCCATCAAGGTGGAGGTTCATTGTAGTGGAAATGCCATGATTCAATCTTCATTGTTTTTAAGCTAAATCACATAATCACCTCCAGCAGTTTTTTATTCAATAGCTGAGGATTTCACACCCTAGTTTATGGTAGTTGAATAACTCCTTCCAAACCAATGCATGCCATCCCCAATACTGGAATTCCTACTTCCGAAAGCCTAAATGACCATTTACCCTAGGTTCTCCAAAGAACTGCATAAAATAAAGCTCACCATAGTAACAATCCTCCATTATTCTAATGATGCAGTGATCATCTTTAGCATGTTTCCATGCAGAGGTAGAGCTGATACACGATATACATAAATAGAACAAGTGCATTCTTTGTATTTTCACATCAACCAGAATTGCAGGATGAGCTCTGATGTCTTCTGCATCCTTGACACGAATACAAAAGAATTTAAAAGCCTACATCCCATAAATAACTATCAACGAGAATGAAACTGGAAATCAAAAGAAATGAGGAACTCTTTGAGTAACATCCCCATTTAGATCTGGACAAGCCATTGCCTTTTTCTTTCTAGAAGCACTAGTCCGCCATTTTCAAACATGCATATACATATATTTAACTGAAATAGTACGTGATCATCCCATGTATCTAACAAATTGTTCTCTGCAACCAAGGAGCTAATATAGTTTTGCAGTGACTACAGAAAACCAACCAACTGCCCTGATTCTCCATCACATATACTTCCAAAATAATCCAACTGACTTGTACCTGGAGCAACGAGAAATAATCTATAACATCATTTGTCTCAAGCCACAAAAAAGGTTGTCCAAAACTAATCTACCACTGAACCCTCATGACACCAATGAGCAGTACATAATTTAGTCACCTACCATTATAGACACTGAGCCTCACTCCCTTCCAGAACTCCATGGCCACATTGTGACACCAAACCAATCCCCCGAGGAATCCCAATGTAACCATCCCAAATCAATTGACCCCATTCAACATACCCACACTAACATA